CTAGTCCTTCACCATAACAATATCACTACGGCAATATATAGTATTAGGTGTTTTGGTGACTATCCTTATCCACATGTCATGACTTTATGACGACGGGTGCTGTGCGCGTACGCTTGTAATCTTGTTCTAATAAGCCCCCTCCCCCGCCCCGACTCTTTCTCTCTCGACTGCTGAATATCGCCGCTTCTTGCTGAATCTTAATGTCAGTGTTTCCCTCTGTCCTTGCGCAGCAGCACGCGTACAAGTGTGTATGTGTGTGTGTGTGTGAGTGTCTCCCCCCCCCCCCTCCCGGGAGGCGCCACCTGTTCACTGTAGGGCCACCAGGGCGGCGGGTGCGGGTGGCTGCTTGAGCCATTTAAAAGTTTACACAGCCAGTTTCTGTTCTAGTCGCCGCGATAAATTGTAAAGGGACTTGAGCGGATTACAGGAGGCCCGGCCCCCTGAGTGGGCGTATTAGCCAGCGGCGTAGAGTGCGAGAGGGAGGGGGGAAGAGGGAGAGGGGGGGAGAGAGAGAGAGAGAGAGAGAGAGAGAGAGAGAGAGAGAGAGAGAGAAGCCTGTGTCCTTCCCTCACCACCCTCTGCTACGCCACTGTCGGGGCAGCCCATAGCATCTCCTTCTGCTTCCCACGGCTCTGCTGGAAGGCCTGGAAGCCCCTGGAGCCCGAGCCTGGAGCCGCGCCTGCTGCCGGGCCAGCAGCCTCGCCCGGCCAGTAGAGACACAATGTTTTTTAAATTTATTATTTTCCCGCTCCTTCTCTCATCCACCGCTCTCCGAGCCTCTTCGTACTGAGCCACCCTGAATGCAAGACCATCAAGAAAAGCGGGATGAGAAAAAGTAGAGGGTAATCTCTCGGCTGAGAAGTAACAACTTACGCCACTTCAGGAACACCCGTTCAGCTAAGTAATAGTTTTAGTGGAAAATAATTATACTTTTCATTCATTCAAAATATAGGCGTTCTTTTGAATTCGCAAAAAAACAAAAAATTCCCTGCGCACTGCAATGGAATTCTTAACAACCTATCAATACACGCCATTCTTCAAACCAATACGGCCGACATTGTTGCCGACCGATCGTAACCAAGAGTGATTTTCACGATCGATACGTATCGATCGCCCGGAGCGATAGAAAGGAGAAAGACACAGAGGTGGTAGTGGAGCAGTGGTAATTATCGACCAAACGCCTGCTGCTTGGCGGCGGCGAGGATATGAGAATGTTGTTTCCTTCAACCCGCCCGGGCCAGAGGAGG